GAAGGCATGCATATGCTTCGTCATCTATGTAACGTCAGCAAACTTGCATGATGATGATGGTAAAGTAAAAAAAAAATATTAGTTGTAAAACAAAAGTAAACATGATGATGATAGGTATACAGAGTCACTTATTCTTCTCTTCAATCATACGTCTCCAACCTCAAGACTTAACTATAGTTAAACTCTAAAGTAATAATGCTCATGTATTTACTATGGAAAGCCTAGCTGTCAATCTCATTCTGGAAATTGGAGTTGCACCATGTACCTTGGATGCAAGTCTGCTCATTCTAGACCTATAAATAGCCCTCCAAGTATGAGGCTTTTGCACAACATATCAAAAACCAAAAGTAGTATTTATTTCCTTACTCATTTGAGAAAGGGGTGTCCCAAGGGTGACAAAGTTGAAGGCATCCAAGACCTCAAGGAATCCCAAAATGGCCTCCCTCTAAGTATGGTTTTCTTCTGCAAGGCACCCCAGCTAAGACCATGAGTGCAGTTGCACGTGCTTTTGCAACGTGGGCCGGCAACACACACTTGTCGTTCAGCCAGGCTCAAAGCGTTGAGACCGCGGATCTGAAGATGGGGTTTTTTAGGGGTGATCATGGAGATGGAAGACCATTTGATGGGCCGGGTAAGATCATAGCCCATGCTTTTCCGCCGTCTGATGAGAGATTTCACTATGATGCTGATGAGACGTGGGTTGTGGGTGCTGTGCCTGGTGGTTTGGACTTGGAGACTGTGGCTTTGCATGAAATTGGACACTTTCTTGGACTTGGGCATAGCTATGTTCCAGGAGCTGTCATGCAACCTCAAATCCCAACTGGATATACTCAGGGCTTGAATGCGGATGATATTCAAGGAATTAAAGCTTTATACAACACTTGATCTTGGTGATGATGATCAGGTCATCAAGAATGTTAAAGTCAACTTCTTATATTTTTATGTTTATCAAATAAGGTACCTCACCTGGAGGGGAGTGTACTTAGAGTTAGAGTGTGCGATAGTACAATATTGGATTAAAGTATCAGCATACATATATATATATACATGACGCTGGATATTTAATTGTTTTAATTAAAGAACCTCAGATATTCTACTTTCAAGTCATAAACGATTAGTAATTAAAAAAAAAAATTTAAACAAGGGTCAATTGGATTTAGATGAATCAACATGATACATTATTGTTTGACAAAAAAATCAAAAACTACTAGTCATCATCTAAAATTAATGAGTGATAATGTGACCTAAAATCAATTGTTGTCAATAGATTGAGAGGCCCAAAACGATTTATACTATTAAGACACTCTCAACAAGTTTAAACTAATACATTATCATTATTAAACTTATGTTGAGCATATGCAAGTACAGTCTACAGTCTATCAAAGAAATACTTTAACACAACAAAATTAAGTTGAGGTTCCGTCTCAAAATCAATTGTTAATGGGAGAATAAGTAGTCCAACTCTCTATAAACCCTTTTAAGGTTTGTTAGTTTTTCAATGTGAGACATTTTCGCTTTCACATTCTTGCAGATACATCTGAATGGTTCTTCGATCTTTGATTCTAATACTAATTTGAGTCTTTCCAAACAAAGAGACAATGAAAGTAAAGTGATGATCTAGTCTTATATGTGTCAATTTTAAAGAGCCCAGGCCGCCCCC